TTCATGTACAGGTGGAAAAGGCCCAAAGTGTTGGCGGAGTCACTTGCCTGAGGTCACATAGCTAGTTAGTGGTAGAGCATACACCCTGACCCATGTCACCAGCAGCCATTTCAGATGGGACAGAACAGGAGGGCCCTGTGTTCTCATGCTAGCCCTCCACAAGCACCTGTGGAGTCTTGGCTAATAACTTATTCTCCCTGAACTCCAGTTGCTTCATCTGCGCAGAAGTCTGACCATCCTCATCCATCTCACAACCTATTGTGAGGTCAGGTGAAATTTGTAAACTGTAATAATAACAAGTAAATACTAATAATGAACATTTCTAGAGCTCTTTTCATGTGCCAGGCACAGTTCCAAGTCCTCTGTGTGAGGCAAGTTCTATTATTTGCCTGTTTCGCAGGTGAGGAAACTGAAGTACAGTGGACCTTAACTTCCCAAGGGTGCTTAGCTTGTAAACTGTGAGCTAAGATTCAAATTCCAGAGTCTGTGCTCTTAATGTCTAGGCAAATTCTAAGTGCTAGGACTGACTATACTGTTCTGCAGTCCACTAGCAAAAAGTGTGTTCTTTCTCCCGCCTGGTCAGTTGCTCCCTTGTGCTGATGGTGCCCATTCAGTAGCTGGATTCGCCTGAGAAATGACCCATTTCCCAGTAGTTGCTATTAACACTCATCTCATCAGTGGCTCCTTTTCAGAGACCCAGAGGAACATTCCAGTTGATTCTTAGTGTCTTTATCTATGGGGGGGAGAATGTCATCCAGGTTGATAAGGAAGTGAACATCTTCTACCTAAGGAGTAGAAGGAAGAATGGAAAGACAACAGACCCTCTGGCCTGCCATTTCTGAGGCAAAGAGTTGGGGTGATAAGAAATGTTGGTAGATGCCAAAGAGAGACTTAGTCATTTTCCGCATGCTCAGCCTTGGCTATGCCACACTGACCCAGGGTAGAGGGTACTTTCTCTCTCTCTATTTCTCTCTTATTTCTTTGTTTAACCCATTTATGTTTATTGTAATTTCTCATTGTTTTTTGGTAACAGCACTATTGAGATGTATAATTTACATACCATGCAATAGTCACCCCAGTCAATCCTAGAACAGGTTCATAACCTTACAAAGAAACCCCATATTGTTTCTTTTAGCTATCACTCTCCAACTCTCCATTCCCCCAGCCTTCAGCAACCACTAATTTACTTTATGTCTCTATAGACTGGCCTATTCTGGACATTTCATATAACTGGAATCATAATATGTGGTCTTTTGCATCTGGGTTCTTTCACTGAGCATCATGTTTTCAAGGTTCATCTATGTTGTGGCGTGTACCAGTACCTCATTTCTTTTTATGGACAAATAATATCCCAGTGTAAGCATATACTACATTTTGCTTATCCATCAGTTGAGAAACATTTGGATTGTTTCCACCTTTTTGCTAATTATGAATAATGCTGCTGTGAATATTTGGTATAAGTTTATTTTTGACATATGCTTTCATTTCTTTGGATTTATGTCTAGGAGTGGAATTGCTGGGCCAAGTAGTAACTGTCTATTTAATCATTTGAGGAACTGCCGGAATGTTTCTGAAAGTGGCTGTACTATGTACATTCCTACCAGCAGTGTAAGAGCATTGTGATTTCTCCACATCCTTGCCAGGGCTTGTTGTTACCTGTCTGTTTGAGTATAACCATCCTAGTGGGTGGGAAGTGGTGTCTTATTGTGATTTTGATTTGCATTCCCCTGATGACTAATGGTGTTGAGCTTCTTTACATCTGCTCATTCTCCATTTGTATTTCTTCTTTGGAGAAATGTCCATTCAAATAATTGCCCAGTTTTTAATAAGTTCATTGTTTTATTGAGTTGTTTTTTATATATTTTACATACAAATCCCTTATCATATATGTGCTTTGCAAATATTTTTTCAATTCTGGGGGTTGTCTTTACTTTCTTTGAAACACAAAAGTTTTTAAATTTTGATGAAATCCAATCATCTGTTTTTTCTTTTGTTGTTTGGGTTTTGGTGTTGTATCTTAAGACACCATTGCCAAATTCAAGATCCTGAAGATTTACCCCTATCATTTCCTCTAAGAATTTTATGGTTTTGGTTCTTACATTTAGGGCTTGAACAATTTTGAGGTAATTTTTATGTTTGGCATGAGAGAAGGATATAAATTCATTCTTTGCCTATAGATATCCAGTTGTCCCAGTACTGTTTGTTGAAGAAACTATTCTTTTCCTATTTACCTGTTTAATTGTCTTGGCACTGACATCCTTGTTGAAAATCATTTGACCACAAATGTATGGATTTCTTTCTTTCTTTTTTCAAGTTCATTTGTTTATTTTGAGAGAGAAAGAGAGAGAGAAAGAGAGCAGAGGAGGGGCAGAGAGAGAAGGAGAGAGAGAATCCCACACAGGCTCTGTGCTGTCAGTGCAAAGCCCAATGTGGGGCTCAATCCCATGAACCATGAGATCATGACCCTGAGCTGAAATCAAGAGTCGGATGCTTAACCAACTGAGTTACCCAAGTGAGCCTGTATGGTTTATTTCTGAACTCTCAATTCTACTCCAGTGGTTTAGATGTTTATTCTTATGTCAGTACTACACTGTTTTGATTATTGTTGTTTTTGTAGAAAGTTTTGTAATAGGGATCAGGAAACCCTTAAACTTCACTCTTTTTTTTTTCAAGGTCATTTTTGCTATTCTGGGTCCCTTGCATGTCCGTATGAATTTTAAGCTTGTCAATTTCTACAAAGAAGCCAACTGAAATTCTGATAGAGATTATGTTGAATCTATGGGTCAGTTTGGGGAGTATTGCCATCTTAATAATATTAAATCTTCCAATCCATGAACATGGGATATCTTTCCATTTTTTAGCTCTTCTTTAATTTCTTTCAATGATCTTTTATAGTTTTCAGAGTGTTAGTTTTGCACTCTTTTCTCAAATTTATTTCTAAGCATTTTATTCTTTTTGATGCTATTATTAATGGAATTGTTTTCATAATCTTACTTTTGGATTGTTCATTGCTAGTGTATGGAAATACAACTGACTTTTGTATTTTGATCTTATGTCATGCAAGCTTGCTGAACTTGTTTATTAATTCTGACAGTTTTTTAGTGAATTCTTTAGAATTTTCTGTATGTGAGATCATGTCATCTGTGATTAGAGATAGCTTTACTTCTCTCTTTCTAATCTGGATGACTTTTCTTTCATTTTCGCACTGGGGGCTATTTTTACAGGTTCATTACAGGTTGTCTGCAGAGGGTTCTCCCTCTGCAGAGTAGGGAGGCAGAGCAGCTGAGGGCCTGGAACAGGGGGTTGGCACAGTCTTTTTGGCTCAGGCCATTGAAGGCTCTGCAACTCATCTCCACCCATAATGACATTTCTCTCTTGTTGTTCCACACAGCTAAGTATTGTTAAAAACATAGCTCTAAAGAATAAGAAAACTTAGTGAATATGATTAATGATGTGAAAGTACGTTTATCTCAGGAATATTTAAAGTCACAACTCTGATTCAGCTCTGTATAATGTAGAGCTTTCCTCTGCCCCAGTTTTTTGCTCCCCTAAAACACAGAAATGTTCATGTCAAAGGTATATCATATCTGTGCATTTTTTCCTTTTTTGGTTTCTCCATGGTATTGCAGCAGAAGCACACACGGGAATATGGAAAAATCTTCAAGTCTCACTTTGGTCCTCAGTTTGTAGTATCTATTGCAGACCGAGACATGGTGGCTCAGGTGCTCCGGGCAGAGGGGGCTGCGCCCCAGAGAGCCAACATGGGGTCCTGGCAGGAGTACCGACACTTACGAGGGAGATCCACCGGGCTCATCTCGGCGTGAGTATGTGGCCTGGTCAGGCCATGGGTGGGAGTGGGGAGCCCAGGGAGACCCCTGCCTGGATGCTGGGCTCTGAAAACCAGCCTTAATAAATTGTAGAACTCCCAGTGGAATAGTGTCAAAACAGCCTCCTTGTGTGATTTCCTAAATACTGGTGTGGAGGGCCCTGTCCCTTCTCCTCTGGGAAGAGGTTAGATGGCAGGGACAAGGCTGGGTCACACTAGCCTGGTAAAGGGGGAGAGCTGTTTCTCAAGCAGTGCTCTGAGGCTGTAGGTGTCCATTCAGTGACAACCAGGGTGGGGCGGGTGCTCACAGAGCCTCTCTGTGGCAGGAGAGGAGGCAGGCAGCTACTCTAGGAGACCCTGGGGAAGGGCCGAGAGCCTTCCTCCGTGGATCACCATGCGATGATGTTCCCAACTCACAACAGGCTTTGATTATTACTTGTAAACAAGCCTCACGGAGACCTCTGTGCCCTCTAAGAAAGAGCTAATCAGCACAGTCTCAGGCAGGGAGGAGAACACAAGCCTCTGTGGATCCCCTGGTCCAAATCCCTTTGGTTTGGAAATTCTATCTGTGGTTCTTTGGTATATATGCCCTTATATATGAACTAGGGAGAAATACAACCATCGGTTTCTCAAATGAGGTAAATAAAAGCTGTGACTGGATGTCACCAGGATCCCTCAACTTCTGCTCTGAGGGAAATAATCAAACACCTCCTCCCTGTGAGTCTGGCCCCAGATGGGGAGTGACCAAATGCTAGAAAAGGTCTCTGCTCTCTGCCCTATCACCTGCGGCTTGCATCGCTGTGGGCCCCGGAGCTCAGTTCAGGGCTCAGCAGTTCATACACATAAACTTTTCTCTCTTTTGCTAATCACAACAGCTTCATGTCTCTTTATTATAATATTATTGCAAGGTTTTTCAAAGGAAATCATATTCCCAGTGGCAATCTTTCCCCTTAAAGTTTGCTTCCCGTTAAAGCTCTGACCAACTGCGAGACTGAAGTTACTCCCCTCCCCCTGCACAGTGTCTTAATTCCAATGGGATCGGCAGATCTGGCTGGCTTTTTTATGGCTGGGGGAGCTCTCAGAGGTTCTCTGAGTTCTTTTCCAGAATGTCAATGGAAGTAAGATTATTTGAAACTCACTTTACTCTTCTAGGGAGGGTGAACAATGGCTCAAGATGAGACGTGTATTGAGACAAAGAATTCTGAAACCGAGAGACGTGGCCATTTTTTCAGGAGAAATCAACCAAGTTATTGCAGATTTAATTAAAAGAATCTACATCCTCAGGAGCCAGGCCGAAGATGGAGAGACTGTGACCAGTATCAATGACCTTTTCTTCAAATATTCAATGGAAGGTGAGGTGAAGTCAGGAGGGAGATGGAAGAACGGACATGTGCCAAACATAGGAGTTCTCATTCACTGGGCATGTCCTGTGTCCCCACAGGCATTGTGCTGAGCCCTGTACCCACACATGTGACCCTCACCTGCTAACTGAGCCCGGTGTACCGCCACTGGTTTGCACGTGGGCAAACTGACAAACCATCTCCATTTTTACTGGCAGAAACTTAGTCTCAAATCGGGTCTTTTTAACTCAAGAATCATGCTCCTAAATTACCGTACATCTTGCTTTAGCACAATTTGTAAAAACCATTAGAAGTTCAGAGGGCCTCTACTATAGTCATTGTAGCTTTTAAAATTTGTGTGGGACGGGTAGGACATTGCCATGTCCTAAAATCAAAAATCAAATCTCAAAGGTATTCACTGAAAAGTCCCCTCATTCTCCCTCTCTCCTGACCTGGTGAGGTCACTAGTGTCTTCAAGGGATATTTTATGCACATACAAGGGGATACATGTGAATAGTCTTTTTACCTAAAATGAAACAAAACAGTAGCATACCACTTTATTCTGTACTTTGCTTTTTCCTAAGGAACTTCTGTCAGTTTTCTCCTTTATTTATTTATTTATTTATTTATTTACTCACTTACTTAAAATTGTTTATTCATTTAGTTTTGAGAGAGAGAGAGAGAGAGAGAGCAAGACAGTGCACAAGCAGGGGAGGGGCAGAGAGAGGGAGACACAGAATAGGAAGCAGGCTCTAGGCTCTGAGCTGTCAGCACAGAGCCTGACGCGGGGCTCGAATGCATGAACTGTGAGATCATGACCTGAGCCGAAGTTAGATGCTTAACCAACTGAGCCACCCAGCGCCCCTCTCCTTTTTAAAAAGATTTTTTAAAAAATTTATTTGAGAGAGAGAGAGTGCACATGTGTGCACTAGAGAGGGTGGGGGAGAGACGGAGAGGCAGAAAGAGAGTCCTAAGCAGGCTCTGTGCTGTCAATGCAGAGCCTGAAGTGGGGCTTGGTCTCACAAACTGAGATCATGACCTGAGGTGAAATCAAAGTCGATACTTAACTGACTGAGCCACCCAGGTGCCCTGCCCCCCCCTCTTTTTTTTTTTTTAACGCATGCTTACCTTACTTCAAATTTAATTTTTAAGTGAACTTTTTAAAGTTCTAGTAATGCTTGCCAAATCTAGTAACGCAATCAACAGGGTGGAGTTGTAAACACTGGAAAATCCTGATGCATTGAGGCTGTTCCCTCTCTTCCTATGGCTCTCTTGGCCAGGGGCTCCCCACTCTGTGGCCCAGAGGAGCCACCTTTCAATTCCCCAAGGTTGGGCAAGGGGCCGATAGGTTGGGTGCTTTGGGTCCTGGGTGTAGAACAAACCGTGGGGAGGGGGGTGTGATGAGGTGAAGCCCCGCCAGGTGGAAGGAAGGACCTGCCGGCTGTCAGCACCGAGTGTGCAGCGCCCTGTAACCCGGGAGGTGGTGGAGAAGACGACCGGTGGTGGAACAGAGCCTCCCTTCCAAAGGGCAGCTCCATCGCTTTTGAAAGTGACTTTTGTGGCTAGATATGGCCTGTTGATACTGCAAGTAACCTAGAAGCAGGTTTAAACTCTCTTTCCCGGGCAGGAGTGGCCACCATCCTGTATGAGAGCCGCCTGGGCTGCCTGGAAAACAGCGTCCCGCAGCTGACCGTGGACTACATCGAGGCGCTGGGGCTCATGTTCAGCATGTTCAAGACCTCCATGTACGCGGGCGCCATCCCCCGGTGGCTCCGCCCCTTCGTCCCGAAACCCTGGCGGGAATTCTGCAGGTCCTGGGACGGACTCTTCAAATTCAGTAAGTGAAGAATTCAGGGGCACCTGTTGTCCAGCCAGCCGACCTGACTGCCTTTACTCGTGGTGTATCTAACGCTTGTGCAGACAGAGGGGAGCTCCGCGGGGGATGAGCTGACACATGTTATTTGGACCGCTTATTTGGACAGATTTCTTGGATGAAAAAAAGCGTATGGGTGGCTACTACAAGCAACCTGACCAATTTCTCATTTTTAGATTCTTCTCATTTTGGCAAACTTGCTAGCAGTGATATAGGCAAGTAAATGTTGCCTAAGGGAGACGATGTCTTTAGTCCAGTAATTCTGTCATTGCTGAAAATGAGTGGGCCTGGGCACACTCATTTGAACATTCTTCTTTGCAGCTGTTTGGAAGAGACAAATTCCTGTTTTCTTACTGGGTGAAACAAACTAAGAAATAATACTTTGTTCCAACTCAACAAAGCAAGATCCGTTTTCCTACATGGCCAAAAATTTCACTAAAAAAGTTTCCTATACTGTATGTTGACTAACTTGAATTTAAATACATAAAAA